GAGAGAGAGAGAGAGGAATGAATTCTGAGATTTTGGGCCACAAACCATAGAGTTCAAAATCAAAACCAAAATAATAATTGTTCTCGCCACAAACCAAAAGAGAATCACGTTTAAATTGATTTCCCATATTCTAACTAGTTTTAGGATTGTGAGAGAGAGCCAAATCCTGGAGGTACAATTATCTACATGAATAAGAAAGAAATCACAACAAAACCTTGACATGTGAATCTCAACATTAATTTCAATAGAGAAAATAAATTATAAGAGAGTATATATTAATACGATCATCTCGATTTTTAGAGCTACATGAGAGAACTCGAAACTCGAACCAAAATCTTGAGGATGAGAGACAACAAGAAATGAAAAAACCCTTTATTCGCATATGAAATATGGCAAGCTTCTTCAATGCGTATGTGTGTGTATGAGAGAGAGAGAAAGAGAGAGAGAGAGAGCGCTCCAACACCTCGAGGTCTTCTTTGTCCTGCTCATGTTATCTCTCTTTGTCTCTCTCGCTGGTTTCTCATTTATGTCCAATATGTGCTCTCTCTCTCTTCCAATATGCCCTCTCTCCCTCATTTAGGTTGAAAGGCAACTTGTTGAGCCCAAAACCCTTTTTTTTTTTTTTGTGATATTTTTAGTCAACAATCTTAGCCACCCATTTCAAATGAACGATTGAAAAGGAGGGAGAGCATGGTTCTTTTTGAGCATGGTTCTTACATGCTGTAGGGGAATTATGGAAAGCTTTCCCTTGTTTTACTATGAATTATATTATTTCATGGTAAACTTTTTTTACCAAGAGATTTATTTGCATATGCATTATATACCAAACAAATGTATGAAACGCAATTTTCACGTGAAAATATTTTTTGAAAAGCATTTCGCGCTGACCAAACTTCCCCCAAGTTAAAGGTTATCGAGATGGTTATAGAAGGAAGTTGGGACCCACTGGATGATAACGTATTTATTGTCCACTCTGCGATCGGACGTCTAGATGATAAAGACCACATATCCATTGTGGTCATAAGGATTGTATTGTACTGGAAATCATACACCATAGTATCAATCTGCATCTCACATCTACTATCTACAATGCATTCATTAGTGATCAACGGTTAGCATGAACCGCAAAACCAATCAATGGAGACAAACAGTGACGTGGCAACACAAAGAGGGCACGAAGCGGAACAATCCCTCATCTGCACCGTTCGTGGTAGAAAAGGAGGGTGAGGATTCAGGTACGCAGGCTGTATATGACACGTGTACCCATTTTATTGCGTCCCGTGCCAAAAAGCTGGATAGCACAGGTAACCGGTTTCTCTCATCCTATATTCCCACACTAAAAAACCCTAGCCTACGGCTGTCGGCATCTCTTTTTCGTTTTTGAAACATTGTATAAAGGTGGGAATTTTCAAGGAGCATTTCAAATCGGCTGCGAAATATTCCCCATCGCATTCAAGAAATTATCGGAGGTAAACTAAGAATCTGCAGATGATAATGGGGTTTGATAAGGTTTTCACTTTTTCTCAGTTCGTCCATGGCTTTATGTTTCTGTAGGGTTTTGGTACTGGTTCTGATTCCTTTATTTTTATCAGTCATTTTTTTGAAATGTTGTTTCCTTTATCTCCTCGATTATGCACTTGCGATGTCCTGTTTTCGTTTCACTGGCAGAGATTACATTTCCATGGAGTTTCATACTTTTTACCTTTATATAATTTCAGCATTATCCTGGTTATATGATTAATCTGATTGGGCATTATCCTGGTTCTATGATTCATTTCAAGAAAATATGATAAGTTACAAGAGCTATTTATGGTTCCCAATTATCTTTGCGATCATCAGTGTGAGGCAATGAGAAGATGCTGAGCTTTTCACTTTGGTCTGTGCTTAACATAGGTTCTATAGAAGGCAGCTTTGATATATCCGGTGGGTATTTCGACGAGGTGTATCAGTGAGAACAGGAAATATCTAGGGAAAACATGAATTCGCGTGGCTGTAGAAGGTCTTCGAAGGAAAATGGAAGGGGAAGCCATCGCAGGAAGAGAGAATCGGGCATCGAGCTTAATGACACCCTCTCTACAGAGACTAGGGTTTCTGAGGTGCCTGATCGAAGAAGGAATTCAAATTCTGCTCAAGCCAATGGGAGTAGAGGGAGTGCAACTAACCATCAGGCAGACTATGTAATGATTGACGTTGATGAAATGGAAGATGACTGTGTTGTTTCCTCTCCAAGAAGGTTTAATGAGGTATAGTTTTTAACCTTGGCATAATCTTAACTTGTTTTTGGGTTGTCATCTTTATCTTTTGCTTTATCCCACATTTATTTTTTCTTGTGGTCAGCTTCTGTTGTTTTATTCTAGTATTTTAATAAATTTGGGAATATTTGGATCCTGTTTTATTGCAACAAAATAGGCAATACAACTGTGCGCATTTTTTTTTTTTTTGAGGAAGTTAATTTGGTGCACATTTTTTTTAAGCCAATGTGTCGCGAAAACAAGAATTTAAATGGAACTGGTAACTTTTTTTGTTCGTTGGGGTATGACAATTTGAAAATTAAGATTGTGACAATGAGTATTGAATAAAGGTAACTAAAAATTAAATATAAAGTAGTTTGTACAAAAGACTCACAAGGTGTGAGCAAAAGACCTCCCACAAGTCGGGTGCCCACAAAAAGGAAAACAAAACGAAAGACAAAAGACTAACAACCTTATAAATAAACGGGGAAAGGGTTCCAACAGGAATGAAGACTAGGGAAAAAGAAGTGAGAGAACAAAGCTGTATGAGTGATAGATAGAGAGATGGTAGAGTGAATAGGGGGGAGAAAGCAAGAAGAGAGACGAGAGAAAGCATAGGGGAGGTGGAAGAAAAGGGGTAGGAGAGAAGGAAAAGAAAAGGAAAAGGGGTACGAAGGACGAGGTCGGTGGGAGGACGGAAGGACG